GAGAGAGAGAGAGATAAGATCGCATATAATCCAAGGATGTCGCAATTAAACGAAGAACGTACAAGTGTTTCGAACAACTGGAACGAATGTCAGCTGCACACCAACCGGACATGGAAGCGCCTCCTTCAGAGAGATTTGCATATTGAGACGTTGGAAACGAGACATCTCGAGCATAGCGAGTTTAATACTATTCCATGACCAGCGCAATATCGGGCTGGATCGATAGCGTGACGTGACATTTGCCAATTTAAAATGGGTCGAGTGCACATTGAATTTCATGGCATATTGTACTTTTCAAGCTGTGCGGGGAATTTTACCACGTTAAATGTTAAATAGAAAGCAATTGAAATCATTTGTTTTACGTGCGTGGCAGATTGAAATGGATTGAATTTGTGAGTTGAGGGAAAGAGATAAAGGGAGAATGATGAAGGAGGAATGTATATTATGTATCATTACGCATATTGATATTGGAGGTATCAAATTATGTTAAATTTTGGATTGTTTGGATTTTTACAATTATCAAGATGTTAATACACGTTTTTATTCGGATACGAATACAATTGGACGCGTCTAATTATTTTTTCTAGTTTAACTTTAACCATCTATGTACAATACACATATTTAAATACATATATTAGATATAATTGATAATTCTAACGTTAGAAATCGATTATAATTGTAAGAAAATAATTTTTAATTTTTAATATAAATCATAGGATGAATATAATGAATATAATGAATGCATAAAAGATATTTATAGGTTAGTCTATTTGTATACATAAAAAAAAAAAAAAAAAAAAACAACAAGTATCCAAAGTATAGCTCCTCATTGTAATATTTGAAGATTAAACTTCTTTAATCATATTTATAAAAATTTAATCACAACGTGTAATTAATTAAAAACAAACTAAGCTGTATTTCACTCAATAATGAAATGTAATAAAAAAAGGAAAAGTATTTGATAATTAAACTGAGAGTATTAGTAGAAATTTTTTAAATTAAAAAAAAAAATATCTTTCGAACAAAAGCAAAACGAAAGAGTGTCATTTAAAGATAAGCAAATTTCAATTCCATTTTAATTCCAAACACGTCTGAGAAACGATTTAGATAAAGAATTAACACATCCAACGAATACAACAACAAGTCGAAACAAGAGACTTCTCTATTGTTCCATGCTCATTGACACGAGAAATCGCGTGATTAGACTAGTGGAATGGAAACAGCTGAGGGTTGATAACGCGATTCACATTGCATAACTTCGTTCAGAGACTATCTTCGACCGTTCAAGGTCGAGAACGCCAGTTGTACTAGACAGCGTGCAATCTGCGTTACAAAGTCGCTCATTGCTATTCGAGACACAAGCGAGAACGTACGATAACCGTTTTGCCGTTTTCTTACGTGTTTAATTCTCTGTTTTCACGCAAAAAAAAAAACGATGGAATTCGGTGTTTTATCGAAACTGGATCGATTAGTGAAATTATGACGACGTATCGCATGAAATAGTTAAGATATTTGAATTGTTTAATATATTGTTTTAATAATCTTTGAAAAATGGAAAGAATTTTGAATATTGTCGTGTAAATTTTTTTTTTATTTAACGTGATAAATTAATTTTTTGGAATATTAAAAATTCAGATTTCATTTATAATTATAGTACTATAAATTAGTGGTATTTCGATAAATTTTAATATATCGAAAGTGAAACTTTAAAATTTTTAACTTGAAATTTTATTTTTTCAAATATTGATTTTTAATGATTTTTTCTTTTTTGAAAATTCACAAATGATTTGAAATTCCAAATTCTAAGTATTAATGTATTTAATATATGAGAAATATATTTTCATGATTTTAGAAATTTCTCTTTATCTAGGAGTTCGATATCCGTTTTATTAACATTTCTGTTTAAACTTCTGTTTCACTTGATTACATCTTTGTAAAAAAATTGGAGGAAATATTAGTTCCTCTTAGAAATATAGGCCATGACCTAGCAGTAATGGACGTTTTAAATTACATTCCACGGCATCATTTTCCTATTTCTTTATATCTGGCGGTCATAAAGAAATATTATACAGTCTAATATAAGAAACTATTATAAAAATTATTACGCGTAAATAAATTTTCAATATTTTACCTAAAAATCATACAATAAAAATTATCCGAGGAATATCGATACATACAAAAAAAAAAATTACTAATACAATTTAAAATTTTTAAATCTCAAATTTAAGACTTATTAACTTATTAAATTTTAAATTAAATTAAATATCTCTATACACTTGTTAAAAAATATTAAATGATGACAAAGATGAACTATATTTGATAAAATTGAATTGAGTTCAATTATTTCTCATAATCACGAAATTGAACTCACATGGACCGCCATTAAGATCACCAACTTCCGGCGTTCGAATTGTTACGTGCATTCCGCAATTCGATCTACGAGGTCGTAGTTAATAATGGAATATCATTGATGACAGAAGAGGAAAAAAAAAAAAATAAGAAGATCGAAGAGATATCCGAGAAATATTGCAAATAACAAACGTTCTTACATAACTAGTTGTTACGTTATGTTACTTCGAATCGTAATCGAGCTGACATAAATTAGGAGGAATATTGGTTTACCACGTGAGAATAGAAGAAATCTGATCAATCGAAACACGTGAAATTTTTTTTCCCTTATGTAAAAAAAATATGATAATTAAATATTATAAATTAATTATTTAATGTTAATATTTTTATATGATTACTCTATGAAATATAAATAACGATAAATAAAGAATCATTAATTTAAAATTTTTTGAGAGTAGAATATATGTATTAAAGTAAAAATCGTATTAATTTCCTAGCTAGCTTAGCTTTTATTCATTATATTTATATTCACAAAACTTAATTCTATTATTTCTATTTATTACAAAAATTATTCATAGAAAATCTTAAAAAATACAAAATTAAATATTCAATAAATAATTATTATTTCTTCAGTTACAAAAATAAATTCCATTCAACTAATATCTTACCCTTGGAACACACTTGTATCATGTACACATTACATAACCTCAATCGAATGACATTTCTTCCATGTATCCTATTTACGTACACCGCAAAGAAGTTTCGTAACCGCGAAAATTTCGCCTCTAATAGGGGCAAAATACCGTAAATTGTCACATTCACGCCACGAAATTTCTTTAATATCACCATTTATACGATTTTTTTTTCTTCTTCGAAGGTTTTCTCGTAGTTTCGTCTGGTAAGAATGGCACGTTTCAAGCGACCTCGAAACCTCCTCTTTCCTCAACTCTTCATTGAAATTTCTCTTTTATCCGCAAGCCATCGTGCAAATGGGTTACTGACGCAACCAGGAACGCGACTTAATGACCGATAATTAGTCAGTTGGTTGCATAACTGCTATTGTCAGATAATATACA